CCATCGAAATTTTCGTGTTTTTGGACTATCGATATTTCCGATATCATCGATATTTATACCTTGATTAAAAGACAAATTGGTTTACAATTGGCATTGTGGGTTTTACTTGAACCCAGTGCAGTAAATATATGACATTGTTCTAAAAAAATTTGTCTGGCACTACTTAGGTCTAGGCGTCTGGTCACCACCTCGATTAGTCTCTATGCATTTGAAAATTAAGAAAGTACGTCTAGACCTCCTTAGAAGTCCGCCTAGCTCACCTAAACCTGCCTAGACACCCGCCTATATCGCTCTCACTTGGACAGAAAACCAATAATTTTCATTTTGCATTTTATTTTTTCAATAAAATGTATGAGACTTGTTGAATACTTCAATGACACTCATTATATGCTTGTTCCCCATGTTTTCAACATGTTCAAATACTTTATAATCTACATGTCATTTTATTTGCAATTTATGATGTATAAACACAAAGGCACTTATTTATACAATGTATAATAAATTTACTTAAATCTGCCTAGTTCGTCTAGGCCTCGCCTAGCTGCCTAGGCGCTATGCTCCAGCCCACTGTCCAACTAGCGCCTAGTGTCTTGTAGAACCTTGATACGTGGTGATGTTAAATATGTCATTATATTTTCTTACACTTTATTATGTATAAATCCTTGGCTTTCATAGAGAGATGCATCTTAGTTTTCGTATTTTCTGGGTTGTGTAAAGCATATGGGTCCCTTTTGCTAATCATTTACTTTTATCAATGTGTAATGAAATATACACTAAAAATTTGCATTTTTCAGTTTTTATCATCCATCTCTTTATAGAAAAGATAGTATTCGGCGAGGTTATCACACTACTATAACAAACACAAAAGATAGATATCACGACCAAATGACGGGAATTCATATAGAACATGAAAAATCTTTTTATACAGATAAAGCACATGGTCTGAATCTGATAGCCCGTACCTAATATTACGTTTTTTTTATATTAATTTTAAAAGAGTGTTTTGACGAAAATGCCCTAGAGACGATGATATTGACTTTCGTTGACCAACGTATAGTGAGACGTACAAAATATTCTTTTGGCATATCCTCATAGTACTTGTCACTACGAACGTGAAAGCGCAAGTGGAATCAAAATTGAAATTACGATAGCATTTTTACGGAACTACGAATCCGAAAAATATTTTTTGTAAATATTACTATTTTATATCTATTGATTCAAATTATTTTATTATTTTAAGTTTATTTAAGAGTAATGAGGGAGGGGAGAGTAATAGATGGAGGAAAGAAGGAAGAAGGCTGAGGGGGCTGCTGCCCAATTGGAGGAGAGAGGATAAGGGTGGTTTGCCTAATCAAGAGAGAAAGGAGAAGGAACTACCTAATTAGGAGAGGGGAAAGGAGAGAAGGGAGAAGAGAAAGGAGAAGGAGGGGAACTAACCTCGACTCCCCTGCAACCCGCACCAAGGCAGAGAGTTTTCCGGCGATTCTCAGCCATTTTTCCGGCGAATTTCACCAAATTACCACCTAGAAACTCCCTACCGGCTTTCCCTCTCCATCTTACACCCAAGATTGATGGGGTTTTGGCCCCGTATCATGAAGAACAAATCGTACGGGTTCGTGGGTACACGGCGGCTAATCCGCCGTTCCTGCAACAATTTCCTTCAACCACCACCTCCAGTTGACTCCCTTTGAGCCCAAGAGCAAGGCCCAAACACTAGCAGGGGGCGTCAGAACATCAATGGAGTCTAATCGAATCCCACCATTTCTAAGGTTTCCGATGGTTCGAGGACGAATTGGAGCTTTTCCCAGTCAAATTGGACTTGGCCACAAGTATAAAACTTGCTCTACTAATTGAGATCTTCATTTATGTGAAATTTGGTAATTTTTGGAAATAGTTGACTTTTTTTTTCGGTGAGTCAGGGTGGCCGGCCACTGCGTGCAGCGGCGTGTGGGCCGAGACCCTACCTGCCCTTCCTAGACTAATTTGGATAGCCTGATTTCATATGTGACGTTTTATTGATGAAATCCCGTCGTAAGACTATAGTTTTGATAAAGACCGCCACTTAGACATTAAATGAATGGACGATCCAACCGTTGGATCGTCACCAAACTTTAATACATTATAGTACGTAATATTTTAGGATAATAAAAATTGACGGATCGGGAATATGAAGTACGGATCTTCCCAGATGGGTTTTCGAAGTTTGTAAATCTAAACGTTGACCGCCACTTAATTTTAACGATTGGCGGAGATCCGATCATTGGATCATTCCGAAACTTTAGGATGTTGTTCTAGAAGGTTATTGAAACTCTTGGAAAGTTACAGATCAGAAATCTGAGATGCGGATCTTTCGGATTGAGTTACGTAGGATTGTGGACCCTACCATCAACCTTTGATCGACATTTGACTTTTGGTCAATGAGTTTCAAATCATTCTAGAACGTCCTTGGGGATGTGTTTTATGTAAGTTACATGTTCTATAAGGATTCTGAGATGTGATTTGACATTTGTTCTAGGCGCGATATTCGTTCTAAGGAGCTGTAGCGCGAACTTCAGGTGAGTGGGTCTTTTCCTTTTTATAGTGTGTGTGTGTGTGTGTGTGTGTGTGTGCATGTATATATATATATATAGTTTCCATTTATGCATTTGAAAAATAATTTCTTACGTACGCCTGGATTAGACTAAAGTTTATAAGAATTAGTGAAATGACGGAATTTATGAAATATGCTACATCCTATGGGATGCACATGTATGCTTATAATCTTTGATGCCATAATTATACCTACTACTATGAATGTTAGTATGTTGATTAGAACTATCGAATCACTGTGGCATGCTTATATTTATGTAGTATTTTCATCACTGTTACACCCCCGGTGTTTGTGCTTGCCCAAGGTCAGGGCCAGTCTTTCACGTGTATGTTCACCTCCGCACCACACGCTCGCCTTGGATCCAAGTAGGTGTCAGTCCTGTCGTACAGGTTGCATTAGGCAACTCCGACTCGTAGGTGATCGCGAATAACATCAATCTTCACGTGATTGTAGCATTAGAGCGTATATTATGATTACACCTAGTCCTGTCATACAGGTCGCATTAGGCGACTCCGACTCGTGTGCTAGCTTATATTGATGAGCATCAGTTCAATCTTACAAGTCGCATTAGGCGACTTCGACTTGTGTGCTAGCATAGATTGTTTGAGCGCTTGATTTACTTATATTATTGTGGAGATTTTGTGATTTTGGATATCCTACCATTAGTTACAAGATATCGTGCCATAATGAATTCTTGAGATTTTGCAAGCTACGGTAAGTATTTTTATACTATACATAGTAAGTATATTTTGGAAACTATACTTGTTTTACGGTGAGGGGTTACAATGTTTTCATAAAGGTTTTTATAAAACTTTACTTTCAGGCCCACTCACCCTTGTTTTTTTGCCCCTTCAGCTTTTAGCTGCTGAACTTTTGTATTGACGAGGATTCTTGGCAAATCTCAGTATAGATGGCTACCTTTGAGGGTATAATCCTTATCCTACCTTACTGTACTTTACTTATGCTCTGTCATCACTTGTGAAATAGGTTCATTCCCGCTCACCAGCGCACTCTTATATTTATGCACTTTTAGGTCTAAATTTATTCACATTTTCCACATCACTACACTTTATGGCTTCGTCACCTTCCAAGTGTTGGCCAACACAACTCGATTCGGAGTCATAATGGACATTCCAGGTCGGGGTGTGTCACTGAATACTCGTACTAAAGTTTTTTATTTTTTATTTTTTTCATTTAAGAGAGATGTAATGGAATCCTTGCATATAGATTTCCATTTTTGGGGTTTTTGAACTTTAATCCTTGGAGAAGATTAAAATTCAATAAAAACCTGGTGTTAGATTGGATATTGATTTAGTCTTCTAGTCTAATATGTACTTAATTCAAATTTATATTATATTTTTGTTTTAATATTTAATAGATATCTTATTTAACGTCATTACATTAAAATTAAAATTATTTATTATGATACACATTTTAATTCATTATATTTATTTTACTCCCTCTAATTAGTGTACCTAAACGTCTGTATCACAATATAATTAATGTACCGAAATGTCTGTACCTAAATATATTGTAGTGATTTAGTGGCACATAAGAAAATATGCAAAAACATAAGTGTACCAAAAAATTCTATACCTAAATATGATACTAAACTAGTGTACCGAAATATCGGTACCTAAATATATTATAATAAACTAGTGTACCAAAATATCCGTACCTAAACATATTATACTAGCCTAACGTACATAAATGTTCGTACCTAAATATATTGTAATGAATTAGTGGCACATAAGAAAATATGCAAAAACATGTGTATCAAAAAATCTTTACGAAAATATTTTCTTATATAAGATACTTACCATAATGAGAATTAAAATTTATAATATTTGCATAAAATTTAATTAATGAACGCCATAAAATTATAAATAAAAATGAGAGACATTTAATATGATGGCATTAAATAGGGCCTAGGGACTCAAATCAATTTTTAATCTTGTATAAGACATTTTTCTAAACTTCATCTTATTTAAAGATTAAAATCTAGCATTTTATTTTTTATTTTCTATATGTAGACACTCCTAAATTTGGACCCAAGAACTTAAAGCTAAAGTTAGTTTAATTTGTGTAATACCAGATAAGATAGCTGTCATGCACTTAATGCAGATTGAATTATGTTGAATTGATCTCAAACAAGAAGCTGTAAAAAATGTGAGCCGCTTGAACTCTTGGTTGAAACTTGAAACTTGAAACATTAGTGCAAGAATAGTAGTAGTCAAAGCAGCTTTTCAGTGGCAAATCACAAAAACATATGCATATATTACATGACACTGAACCTAACACGTATATTGCAAGATGCTAACTAAAAGTAGCACCAATCACTCATACGCTCATATGTATGTAGTGCTTTTAAACTGTTAAGTATGTATGTAGTGCTTTTAAACTGTTTAGGGGCACGTGGGTAATTGTAGAATTCATATTCATCGACGGCTATCGATCAAGCACTTTCCAAAAACTAATACAAACCCTTTTATTTTATTTCTTTTTCTATAAATTATATATGGTTAAACATTATATTTGCTTTAAACCCTTTGAATAACAAGTCTCTATCATAATGCTTACTACCATGGATGATTATTCTGCGCATAATCATAGCTCATAGCTTAGTTGCTGCTGTCATAATAAAGTTAAAAGGCCTCCCTCAATTCTGCTTTTCCAGCCACCTTGACATCGACAATGTGCTTCACTTGGCGCTCACTAGGAGAACCAACCACAATTGTGTGTTTTCCAGTTACCAACTTCCTCTTTCCTTCACTATCCACAAGGCTCATTCTCTTGCACACATCCACCCCAATTGTCACATACTTTGTCTCTCCATTCTTCACCTCCACCCTTTTAAATTCCACCAGCTGCAACTTTGGTGCTCCCATCACCCTCCCTGAGCTTGCCGGTTCCCAAAACACGAGCACCACATGACCCCCGTCCCTTGGCCCGTTGTTCTTCACGCCGACAACAAGGTTAAAATTTAATTTCGCGCAATGTACTTTTGATACATCAACTAGTTTGCCTTCGGAGTTAGGGTCTGAGTCCAGTTGAGTGGTGGAGTTGGAAAGTAGAAGGTTAACATGATGAGTTGGGGTTGAGGGAATGAGTACTGAGGATGGTGCAGACTTTATGAACTTGGTGAAATTTGAATAGCTTAGACCATGACCAAACTCATAGACGGTTTTTCCAGTGTAGAATCTGTATGTTCTCCCTGGGAAGTTTCTGCTTGTGTTGGCTCTCATGTTCATGTCTGTCATTGCCACTTGATCTGCATATTCCTTTGGGTACCATGTAAAAGGAGATCTTCCAGCTACAGATGGTAAAAATAAATTATCATTACATGAAGCATATATCTTATGAGTAATTTTTCATTGTGACCATTTCATCCTACGTGCTGTTTCAAATTAATCCACTATATTGTAACACTGAATTAATAACAACCACATAACAGTTTGACAGACACACTTGGAATTTTTCAAAACTCATGAGACAAATTAGTAACATCACATGACGGTATGATAGACATATTCAAACAATTAAGAGAGGAAGAGGATCAAAACTCAACCTGGATTGTGGTCCCCAAATATGACTTCAGCAATGGCATCTCCTCCAGCTTGACCTGGATACCTACCCATAGAATCCCCCCAATTTTGCTCAAACTTTTGGCAAAAGAAACATCAATTGGGCCAGCTGCCATAATTACCAGAATGACCTTTCCTTTTGCTGCACTAACCACTTGGTTCACAAGCTTTTCCTGAAACCCTGGCAATGTCAAGTTCTCTCTGTCAAGCCCCTCAGCTTCAATGGACTGATCAAGTCCCACTACCACCACCACTGCATCAGCTGTGGCGGAGGCCTGAGCCGCAGCCCCAATGAGGCTCTCATCGGCACATTTCACATTGTTGCAGCCCGGGGCATATTTCACGGCAGGGACATACTTCTGTACTCCTTGTAAAGGGCTAGTGTAGCTACATGGTATGCCAGCATAGTTGCTTATCATAACAGTGGTGGCATTTGCATTAGGTCCAATAATAGCCAAGCTTTTTATATTTTTAGACAATGGAAGAGCTCCTCCCTTGTTGTCAAGCAAAACTATGCCCTGCTTAGCAGCATCAAGTGCCAACATTTTATGATCCTTGGTGCACACATCAGACGGGCCAAGCTTTCCGAATTGGAGCAATGTTGGGTCACCATCAAAGAAGCCTAGCCTCATCAGGACTATGTAGTTGTATATCAAGGACTGATCTACCACAGATTCTTCAACTTTTTTTGAGCTCACTGCATTCTCTGTGTATAATCCTAGAAAATCTCCACAATTCATGTTTAAACCTGCATATCATCACATTGTAACACATAGGATCGATCAAAACACTTTCTTCTTAATTGTCACAATTTTTTTTTTTTTTGGCTGCAATTAGGGGTGTTTGTGAGCTGGAAACTGATAAAATTTGATGGAAACAAAATATTGAAATATCAAACAATTGTCGTCAAATCTAATTCCGTCACACCATAATGGCGAACCTGCTTTCAAGGCAAGGGCTACTGCATCCTCAGGTGTTGCAGTATAATGGATGTCATTGTAATAAACTTCGATGGAGTCGCAATCTGAAACGATATATCTGCTCATAACATAAAATAGAGCATTCAGTCAGGCACAATGCTCATTTGATAAGGTTATTAAAGAGAAATTTGTAGTAGAAAGATAAATTACACCTCCTGAAGCTTAAGAGACAAGAAAATTACCCGTCTAGACCCCATTGACCTCTAACTACCCCTTGGAGGAGGTTCGGGTCAGCGCACGTTGGAACGCCGTTGACACGATTGTATGAACACATCACACTGCTTACATGGCCCTCCTGTACACAACTTTTGAATGGTGGCTGATATGTATCCTCCATGTCCTGCTCTGTCACCTGCAGTGAATCCAGCAGTCATGCATATATGGTCATTTGACTCATTTGTACTAAAATTTCTTGCATCTTAAGAAACATGAATTAATGACTCTAAAATTATTAAGGAAAACGAAAAGTTCAAAAAAAAACTTCCCTTTTAATGAAAAGCCTTTTTTAAAGGTATAGTGAATAGTACCAATGAATGGTATAAATGTGGTTTTTAGTTAAAAGTGAACAGTATAAGGAGTGTTTTGTTAAAACTCCCAAATTATTAATGATTGGTTATCAATAAACTAGGGGTACCATTATTGATTACTGCCTTTGTATCAAAAAGTAACAAATGTATTTATTTTCATCTGCATTAACCCCACTAGATAGTTATTTAAAAAGAAAATAATAATAATAAAGGTATTGTATTCTAGCTGTCAGGCGGTATAATTGATCTCTCCATGTTATAACACGTAAATTAATTATTAATAATTTAACACTATAACTTAAAACATGAACTCGTCGCTTTCTCATAATATAACAGTGGATTAATCGATTACCTGTGCATCAAAGTGAAATCGATCAACTCCTTTCCAATTATCCACATCATAAGCAGTGTAATGCTTGCAGCAGCTTGAGACCTTCAGCCTATCACCACCAGTCTTATTCCCTTCACTCACTTCTTGCAGACCGCGGACATAATTCACCGCGTAATCTGACACCACCAGAGGGTCTTCGCCAGGTGTTTCTTGTCCGCGACCCCATCTAGGGTCGCGGAACACATTAACATTAGGACTCCAGTATGTCAACCCGGCTAGGCCAACATTGTACATGGCCCTAGCCTCAGTTGACACAACCTGGCCCATCTTTAGCCACAGTGATTGGTTAAAACTAGCAGCGGATAGAATCACCGCTGGGAAACTAGTGGCACCAGGCACTGTGCCATTAAAACTAGTTCCCGGGCCAACATTAGACACGCCATGAAGTGCCTCGGACCACCACTCATACGCTGGCACACCTAGTCGAGCAATGCCTGTGCTCTTATCTACTAGCTGTATCACCTTTTCTTGGAGCGTAAGGCGCGACACGAGGTCCTTGGCTCGCGTCTCATAAGGAAGGGAAGTGTTGCAGAAAGGAAATTGGCTAGTTGCTGAAGCTCTATTGTCACATGCAAATTCTTGTGTAAAAATGGGAAGTATTTGGAGAAATGTAAAAGAAAGAAACAAGAGGATTTGGATTCGAATTCGAATTTGGATTTCGTTGTTCATGGCTTCTCTAATTCTTTGGGTTTAAACCAACTGGTTGGTGGATTTAAGCACATGCATTGATGCTATTTATACTAGAAGCTCTATAAGTCGAAATGCTAAAAAAGAGGATTGTTGCTTGTGAAACAAGAAAGGAGAATGCTTAGAGGAAGCAAAAGCTTCTTTTAGTACATGGACAGTCATGACTCATGGACCAACAAATTATGGTCCCAATCTTGGTGGGAGCAAAGATGAAATAATCAATGTAGGCAAACTCAATGTGAACACTTATGGCTGATTTATTTATGGGATTTGTAATTTTTGTTTGTTTGTTTGTTTTGTTTTGTTTTATAAATCAGATTTATTCTAGAATCAAGAATTATTATGTATCTGACCATCACAAAAGCAAGATAATTATTATGATCTTGAATTTTCATTATCAGGAAATTACTAGTTTTAAAAAAAAGTTTATTCTGCGTTCTTTATTATTACTTTTTGAAGTACTAATAACAACTCCTTATATTAAACTCAAAACATTTTCCTACCTAAATTCAAGTATATTAAATATGGATCTCCGTTAACATCACAAAGTTAAATCATAAACTTTTTGCAGATTATTATAGAGTTAATATTAAGAGCATTTGCTTGATGCCCTCTTGTGTTCGATCCAAAATTACTTCAACTATTGCAGACCTAAGGAGATATGAACATGGTCAAGTTAGCTAGTGCTTGGTGACTTGCAAGGAAAGACTAGCTAACAAGCGAACAAACTAGAGCTCAGTGTCCTGTCTTCTTTGCATCCGGTTTAAGTCTCACTTTCCATATGTTATCGTATATTAGAATATCGCTTTGTCAAAATAAAAGATGCATATTTACTAACCCAAGTTGTCTAAAGCATTATGCAATTTATGCTTCTCCTCTACATCCAATTTCGAATCTCCCTCTTTCTAAAGGGTTTCAAACTCGAAAAATATTGCATTTTTCAAGATGGAATCGTTTTGCATGATATTAAGTATCTTCAAGCTCCAATTTAATGGGGTTGTACATATGTTTCCCATTGTGATGAAAAGTTAACAAATTGCCAATTGCGGCTAGTATTCATCTCAAGCAAGGTAGGAAAGATTCATGGAATGGGTGCCTTAGAAGAAACTGCAAACATAAAGGACGATTGGGAAAGGGGAAGCCAATGAAGGCACGCCAGCCATCGATCGAAATAATAGAGCTACTAGATTTATGCTTGAAAATTACATTTCCTTGAAATTTACAGTATTCAACTTTCTTTTTGCTCCAATTCCATTTGCCAGATTAATATCATTGATTTAGACATGAAATTTAAAGCGTTTTCCAAAAGAACTCAGTCGGCGAACCAAACGTACTGCTATGCCAAATGCTTAATGTTGTTTGTTCATATCCTAGCTATTTATTTAGGGTGACTCATGAAGAAGAAAAAACGTACATAATATTTAGTTTGCAAATTTTATTTACAAAGTTAGTAGACAAAATTGTGTAAACTAAATGACATGGAAGTTGATAATTGAATTATCATTTAAGAGTAGATGCACGTGCTCAATTTTATTGGTAACATATCATTTAGTTTGCAATTTTTTTTTTACAAATTAATCTCCCTAGCATTACTCTAGTTATTAAATTAGCAAGCTTTCCATTGTTGAAAATGTTTCAATTTCAAATTTCTTCTCTTTCAGCAAGTGCCCATTTATCATAGTGGTGGAAAAGAGTTGAGCTCTTGCGTGATGACGTAGGTTTGAACCCCGTTGATGGCTAATCTAACATCTAATCAAACAAAATCTATCGTTTGACAAAAATAAAAAGTAAAAATTTCTTCTCTTTCATTAATTTTAATTAACAAAATAGTAGCATTACACATTAACTCAGATACTAACGGTTGATGTAGCCCAAATCCCTCACCTCGTACTATGATTAATTAGTATCGTTATATACGTGGGTTGTTCCCAAGCTCTAAGGTTGCATGAAGAACCTCAAATCTTTTCTAACCTCAGTGCAACGGGGATCCATGGAAAGAAAGGACCAACTCACACACTGTTAAAAAGGAAATTAGGCCTAAGTTTGGGACATTTGATTATATATAAATGAGTACTACCTTAGGTAACATTTGATGTAAATAACCACATCATTTGAATTAATCAAAATTTTAAATTTAGTTCACTATTTAATAAAGTAATAATTAAAAATAATTAAAAAAATAATGTTTGTGGTATACGAAGAGTCTCTCATTCCTTTTCTTGGGTTTTGCAAATTTTTAAATGATACGACCGTCCACATCAAATGCCACCTAATGTGTTAATAGAAATATGATATAAAAACATGGTATAAATAACATTACTCTATATAAAGCAATGTACTGGGGAGATATTGAATTCATATAACCTATTTTTACACCCATGTTAACTTTAATTAAACTATTAATATCTCTTTAAACCCATATTTACTACTTAAACTACCCTCACAAACCCAATTCAATTTGTAAATTTATCTGTATACCCATTTAAAAAATAAAAACCCAAAATTTGCAAAAATAAATCCATTTCAAGTTAGGACTATGAAAAACTGGACAAATTCTTAATCCAAGCAATATGATCGTCCTTGTAAATTTGTAATCACTAGGATTCATACCCGAGCGATGCGACGGGTTGAAAACTTTGTCATGCAATTAACAAATACATATAAAAAGGGCAGGTAAAAGAGTCCATGAATTTCCATAATGTACCCAGTTAGTAGAAATGTACTCCAACATGATCAGGTCAAAAGGAGATTCCTTCACTCTCAATATGGTTTATCAAAAGTAGTGTCTTATTTCTTTAAGCCAAACATGTAGGACAACACCAATCACAACTACAAATACTAACAACTGTGCAAAAGAATTATAAAAACACTCATGTACCATATAAGAACAAACCTCACAATTGGTCTTAAGAATTGTTTTTCCAAAGAGACCCATTACAACGCGATCTGAAAGAAAACAAAACATGAATAATATCAAGGAAACTACATTTTCACTGTCAAGTAAAATCTACGGCAGGTAATGAACAAAATACAAAGTTCCCAGCTTTAATTTAATTATTATAAAATATTGAGGGAAATTAACAACTACCCAGAAATGTTTGCTCAAAACTAATTGATAATATGAATAATTTAATTACACAACATTTACAAAACCCAAAGTTCTTAGCTTAATTTGATCTTACCATTTAAGAGGAAGAAGTAAAAAAATTACACATAAATGTTTGCACACAATTAATAGATGAAACAACCAATTGGGCAATCAAAAATTTCAGATGAAGAAATCATACCAATGGGTTTCCATTAATTTCGATATCGAAGTTTATCTTTATGAGTCACTTGCTCCAAATCTTTCTCCTACCAAAAACATAAACAAACCCTCAAAATAAGGAGCTCTGTTGGTTCCCAAATATTAAGAATTGTTTCACGTGTACCCTTCATGAAACAGGTGGTGATCGCTACTACTAAGCAGGATTGAAGATTTGAGTATCTGATTATTATAGGAATTAGAAGTCATCTTCCAGACAAAATCAAATACACAGGGATAGGCAATCAAACTAATGGTGCAGTGAAGACAATAAAACACGACCTACTACTCCCTCCCTCTCTCTCTCCGCGCAAAGGCGGCATGGCTCTCATTCACCAAACCCTCATCGAATGACAGCCACCTAGACCCATCCCAATCCGTCCCAAAACCATAGGACAAAATTAACCTTCCTAACTTAGCATCCTGACCGCTTCGGATCTAAAAACTTTTGGCACAGAGAGTGCACATGCATAATTAAAATTCACAGATCTAGTGCAAGCAAGCGTACATTAGTAAAGGGAGCCAGAGATTATTACATTTTACCTTGGGTTTGAGATCCCTAAGTATTTTCCAAACGGACTTGAGTGTTGCAGTAGCGTCCTGCAAAGAAATCATAGATACATTAGCTGGCACAGAGAGTAGACATCTTTTTTTGTTTCAGACCGCAGATCCAAGAACCACACTTATTTTACCGATTCTTGCTTATGGACAGAAAAGCGAAGCAAGGGATTGCATGTTTACCTTTGGAATTTTTGTACTCCTAATGAAAGAGGGGAATCCAGAATGAAAAACAAACCAAAGGGCAAACAAATAAATAGACGCCCAGAAAATCCCCCAACCGATTAAAAAAAAAAAAAAACCAAAAACCAAAAACCATGTTGCCTAACCTAACAAAACAGTACAAAAAGATTTGGAAATTTTTTTTTGGGCTTTTCAATCACCATATTCACGCAGATATAAATGCAAGAAACAATAAAAAAAAATAGAGATTTTAATAGAAAATGTAATTGAAAAAGACACTTATCTGAGCATGCAATAGAGTATGGACGATGAAGAGTGAATCCCGGACAAAGGGACCGTACTCGCGCCTGTTCACCATCACCCCTCTCTCTGTGTTTCTCTCCCTGAAATCCCGATGATCCCCCTCTCTTTCACCATCACACTCTCACTCACTGAATCAAAGATCGACACTGACATCCTCACCCCTCTCTCTCTCTCAGAAACAAACTAAATGAACAGAGTCCCTAACCCATCCCAATCCGGCTGAAACCCTACGGACAAAATTACCATCCAACCCCCACTCTCATATCACCTGACGGCAAGATCTGAACCATTAACGGGGTAGTGTGGTCATTTTGACTCCCAAAGTGTAGTGATCCCCTGCAAAAGAAACCGGCAAACAAAGAAAAAAGAACAAACGATGAGCAATAAAACTCACAGACCATAACACACAAAATTCCCTATAACGTAAATTGATAAAGCATTTTACCCAATCCAATTGAATTCCTGATCTCAAAACATAAGATAAACTAATAAACCATTTTATCCAAACAACCATTTAATTTTAAACATTTAAAACCGAAGAGAACCAAATGCGCATATTTGGAAAAAAATGGAGTGTTTTGAGTATCTAAATCTCACCCTCAACACTTTAAAAATGCAGCAGTCCCAATGGAAAGAGAACTTGCAAAACGGCGTCCCAGCACAAACACAACATATAAAACGAACAAACGAAGACAAAACAAAACTTTAAAAACTGATAATGAACGATAAAATTCAAAAATCCTAGGATGCAAAATCGCAAACGACATAAAAATTAGTAATAAAAATTATGAAAAAACAGACACCGCTTGACACCAAATGCTTGACGCCAATGACGACCCCAAAGGCAAGAAAAATCCCAAACCAGTTAAGAAAAAATTAAGAGTCCATTCCTCTGTCATATTCTTTTCCCTTGTTTTGCTACCCCTAATCCCAAATGTGCCTTCGATGCTCTTTGTCCCCTTTTTCTCTCACCCTAATATCTCACCTGCAAAATCTTAATGTTGTTGCCTTCCCCCACCAACAAACCCTCAACACCCTGTAATGCTATTTTCTTCCAAATCTATAACAAAAAATGCATGCATAAACACTGTAGAAATTTGCAAAAACCCACAACACAACCTAACTAAAAATCTCACGGATTAAAAGTTTCACCCAAAAGAATCCCCCATCTCTCTTATCAAATGAAAACTCCAAAAGCAATTCACTGGTTGATAACAACCCATTTAAAATTGAACCCAAATAAATTAAAAGCTCCTCTCACATTGATTAGTTGTTCATTCTGCACCTGCATTTTACTAATTCTACGTTAAAAGTTCTATGTACAACTCAAAAAAGCATATTTTAACAACTAAAAGGACTGACACGAACACCATATGACCGTGTTAGGATAAAAAATGATAAACAAAGATTCGCTCAAAAAGCAGAGCGTAAAAAAACTCCCAAAAACAAAGATCAGGATCTCTTCATCTGAATTATAAGTATTGTATATAAGTCTTCAAATACAGGACTAATGTGTTATAAGTATGATGTGTGAAAAGTATTTACATAACGTTGTTACAAATCATTAGTTGAATAGAATACTGTATATACATAACGTTGTTCCAAATCAATAGTTGGACAGAATAACATGATAAACTTTATTTTGAGCAAGAACGTGAAAAACTATCTAGCAACACAATCTATCAAGAGATGTAAGTTCTCTGTATACATATATATTTATATCAACTTGTCATATTTAATAAAACTAAAAGCATGACAATAAGGGAACCTTGGCTGCCATAAGTCATATCCGGCAGCTGCTTCAGCCACCCCCACTGGAATTCAGGGTTGTATGCATTTCATTCGAAAATCCATCACCATGAAAAATGAAAACAAAAAATCAATTCAAATCCAACATATCCAACAACCCAAATATTATAATAATCTAATCAGACAATAAACAATTAGAGATGAAGCTCAATTACCATAAAGAAATGAGGGGTTGTGTGGTAGACGCTAGTTGAAGCTTCATCAAATATATAGAGGATGATCAAACAATCAAAGACTAATCTCAATTACCTTTCCCGTTCCCGGAAAATCACTTCCAGGCCCGCTATGAAATATTAGAAGGTCCGTAAACTCATAAGGCTAATATAGTAAATTAAGTCTCCCTCTGTACCTTGCAACGCAAAGCAAAAGAAAGCCCCTCCTTTTCATAATCCCATACAGTGTGAGGTTAACACTTGCAGTGAGGTTAACCTTGAAATGCCAACTCCACCATTCCCTTGGCTAGCAGATGCCATACCGACGTCTGATCACTTCACTACTGCAACACAGCAGATGATGGTACTACTTCCCCTCCTCGCAACACTCCCTGCTCCTACGTCCACTCTCATCCAAGCACCTTTCTTTCTATTGAACAACATAAAAATTCAAATTCAAATTCAAATTTCTTTCCACAAAAGCATTAATTAAAATTAAAATTCATAAAACATATAAATTGAGCTGAAATTGCTGAAACAAAATTCAAATGAAAATTTTTTAAAATTGCAGAGTCAGTTAATTACTTAATTTAGCTAGGATCCACACCAAACTCACTCCAATTTTTTAAATTAAGCACCAAATACAAATACAAATTTAAAAACCACCGCCGATCCTCCGAAATCAATCGGACTCCAACAAAACAATTAATTTTCGGCATTTTCAAACTCAATACATCCAAAATTTAGAAATCGGTTCTGATGACTGACCTGCAAGCGTTTCGGGGAGGCCTGGAAGCAGAGCTCGCACATTTTAAATACCGCTCCGCTCCTGGAATTTTTTAGATTTGAGCAAAAAATTTGGGAAGGAGAAGAATTTGATCGGAGAGAAGGAATGACACGCCCCGATCCCAATATTCCCCGAATACCAAGAAAGACACGTGCTGGCCAACACTCGATGGTGACGAAAGCCATTTATTGAGTGCAATTGCTGAAAATAAAGAATAACTAAGACTTATAAATATAAAAGAATAAAGAATAAGCATTTAAGGAACGTGTTCAGAGCATACAACTAACTAGAATATTAAAGGAAATAATATAAAATTAGATAAACAAGGAGTGGGTCCTACACCGAGAGGACTCGAAGATGCCGATGCAGAAGTGTCTTGACGCTGGGATTGTATGCTTCGATTCTAAGCTCTGAAGGGGCGCAAAACAAATATGAGTGAACCAAGTTGATATATATATATATATATATATATATATTTATTAAAATAGTTATCAACGTACTAACCCCCAGGTTTTATGAAAACACATATATATCTTGATAAACATAGGTTTTCCGAAACCTAGCATGCCATGCAATGTCTCAAATCATAACTTGTATATATAATAATCACTAGTGAATGTCCAATAACTCCCAGGCCCCATGCCGGCTCCCCGTCTTTGAGCAGACAATCAGAGGAAAATACACTTCAGGCCCCATGCCGGCTCCCCGTCCTTGTGCTAATAGTCAGAGGAAACACACTCCAGGCCCTATGCCAACACTAAACCGTAGCCCGGGACGGACCGGAATCTATCCCTACATCCCGTAGCGGAAATGACCACTAGGTAAGTACAAAACCACTGAACATATATATATTGAAAAATAACATCATAGTATAAAGTCATTCATCATCTATACTATAAAGAGGCGTTCGAAACATGTTCTAAATATCATATCGTCATCCATCGGATATTTTATAAGAATATGGGTTATAGGAAAAATATTAATAATTCAAACTAGCTTTAGTAAGCATGTTATCTTAAAGCGTTTCATAAAACGTAATCATTAACTCATGCCTTTCATGTATGCATTTCTACTATTAAAACATGCATTTTTAGAAGGGGTCAACTCACAGATACTTAGCCGCCGAAGAGCCACGCAAACTAGCTACCACGGAAACGGCACAAATATTGCCTCTAAGCATATAAATGGTCTAATTAATAAAACTCTATTATAACAATTGAATTTGAGAAAACGGAAACGGATTCGGAAAGTCAAATTACCCTAAGATGAGTCTCAGATAAATTTCGTAAAATGTCAACAGAATATCCTTAGAATATTCCAAAAAATATTCCTGATGGAATAATCCACATAAAGGGTTTGGATTTAGCTAATTAGGTGGGCTAGGTTTAGAGGAGAGGGCTTACGGCCCTGGTTCAAAAGGCCCGAAAGCCTTAAGCGTAAGGGTTTTGGGTTTCTAGATAAAAAGGCTTAGGACCTTAGCTAAGTTGGCCCAAAGACCTTTAACTTAAAACAATTAATAAAATAAATAATAAAACTAAAATGGGTTTTAGGTTGGGCTCGGCAAGAAATGCCCAAAGGGCCTGGGTTTGGTGGGTCGCCAGACCCAAGGATGAAGAAGGTCGAAATTCGACCAGAAATCTACACCAACTTTAAACGACCATAACTTTGTCAAAACTTAACGAAATCGAGTGATTAAAAAACAAAAGTTGTAGTTATCGAAGAGACGAAGAGAATGGTACCTCACACGACATCTAAATCGCCGTGTTTTGACTGTAAAATGCCTCAAAAGCCTTGGAGGTCGTCAGACACTGGGTAAGATTCAAATGAGTATAACTTCTTCAATACTCAATGAAATTGGGTGAAACAAAAAGGAAAGTTGTAGTACTCAGCGAGAGGAAGAGATTGATACCTTTTATGCTGGCCAACTCGCCGTGGTTTGGCCGGAAATTGCCTCAAAAGTGACGGTGCTTGCCAGAAAATCTAGAAAACACCTTCCCGAGTTACTTCTATGCTATATCCTTGATCCACAAACATATCTCAGGTTAGATTTAGGCCACAAGAACAAAAATGAGAAGAGTTCAAGTGTCCCGAGGCTTACCCAAATCGAAGGGACGAGACACCTTGCCGGAGTTCCTCATTCGAACCGACGCTAAATGATTCTTGCGTCTTTGTCGATTTTTAAGGATGCAGGAAGGGAAACAGAGTATGGTGGTGGTTCAGTAATGTGTGTATGTATGTTTGTGTGTGTGTGTGTATGGAGCTCAGGCAGAAGAAGAGTGTAGAGAGAGAGCATGGGGAAAGGGAAGAAAGAGAGAACTGAGAGGAAAGGGATAAGAGAGACTCAGGGGACAAAAATTAGGGGTGGGCCTCTTGGGCTCACCAATTAAGACCCAAAAACCATTTTAAAAGCAAGATAACCTCAACCTTAGTGAAAAATACAAATTAAATCGGGGGTGGGTGTAACAGGGAAAATTCAATCTATTTCAGGATCAAACACTAAAGTACGAAACTTTACATTTTCCCTTCTCAAATCTGACATCTTCAAGAGCTCCGCCCTACTTTTGATGGTCGTATCTGAGTTCATTTGTGGGTGTCGGCGACTTGCAAGGATGGTGGATCCAGGAAATGGAGGTTGGTTCGTGGGCAGGAGGAAAATTCGATATGGGTTTGTGTGGAGGTGCATCAATGATTGTTCAACGGATTTAACTAAGATGATGAAGAGGAATGGGGAGCAGCACTGGGGCTAGGTTGAGAGAAATTGAGAGAGAAGTCTCTCGAATTTGATAGGAAATGAAAGAGAAACGGTGCTAGGGTTGTAGGAAATGAGCTCAGAGTGAGAACAGGAAGGGATGGGGGAATTGATGGATGGTTATCGAGAGAGAGTCGGTAGAGAGAAAGAGGGAAAGAAAAGGTAGTGCCAATTTTGTAAATAAAGTGAAATTCGGCTCAAACCTACGGACACAATTACCCCCTAACTTTTAAGAATTAACTTCCCAACCCAGCCCAGATCTAATGGTTTTGTTGTAAATAGCATGAAATCGAGGGGCAAACAATTGATTGTAGCCATGAACAGTGCCAATTTCCCTCCAACTTTAGAATAGATTATAAAATAAGCTCGCGCATTGCGGCATGAAACATTGTTTCAGCCATAACTGTATGAATAAGACACATTTAACCTGAATAAATTCAACACAATCATAAATGAACAGAGGGAAACATGAGAATGAGGTCGATAAGTTAAGTAGCTTGGCTTTTATTTGCATTCAACTGAACTAACATGTAAAGACATTGCACAATTAGTAGGAAGAAACTGAACGCTCTTGATCACAAAGGCATGGTTGCCTAAAAAGTTCTGTTTCCATAAGAAACAGAAGAAACAAAAACAACATGCAGTTCACACACATTGTGTAGTTTAGATGGCAAAATATGTGTCCTGCAGGGCAGACACCTTGTTGATGCCCAAAATCAGTGAGGACTTTAGTACAACAGAAAGTGTTAAGTTTGTGACCTTCGCTAGATTGCTCTAGTCACTAGTGTGGATAAGTATGCAAATGGATAAGGACAGGGAAGCAAACACAAGATGTACGTGGTTCACCCAGATTGGCTACGTCCACGGAGTAGAGGAGTTCTCATTAATTGTGAAGGGTTTACACAAATACATAGGTTCAAGCTCTCCTTTAGTGAGTACTAGTGAATGATTTGGTATAAATGATATTAGGCCATATTGTGGGAGAATGATCTCCTTTTATAGAAGAGTTTCTAGCTTTGTTCTGACATTGACATGTGTCGTGTTATGATTGGCTTCTGATGTTAACACGTGTTGCGCTGTGATTGGCTTCTGATGTTGACACGTGTCGCATTGTGATTGGCCTCCTGGTTGGAGGGAAACTCTTATGGGTCATTGATGGTATAACGTTGACCGGTGCTCAGTAGTTTCGGGATTGGTCAAGTATGATACAAACACACCTATTCCAGCACTTAATAAAAAAACATAGAAAATGTTCAGTACTTGTTCAAGTAGCTAATTTTCCAAGAACAAATGTTCAAAGGCAAAAATATGCAGAAGCCTTGTTATTGTATGAAACAGAAGTAACTAGCAGTTAACACATATTGCCCCTGCAGTTAAGACGACAAAATATATGTCCTACAGGCTAGGCACATGTTTTAGCAATTACCAAAAAACAGAAAGTGTTCCGTTCTTGTTCGGGCAGCTAAGTTGTCAAGCACAAATGTTCAAACCTAAAAAGGCGGTAAAAATGGAATCACACCCTCAAATGCACCAATGCAGATAACAAGAACTACTGCCCTTTCATACAAACTGCAGGCCAAGATGCGTAAACATTTGCATATTCCTTAAAGGAAAATTTCTAGGCCTTTGTTATATTATGTATTAAGGAGAACCAAACTGTATCCCCCAACACTAAATTTGTTGGACTCACAATCCCCTTGCAAGGGTTGTAAAACTCAAAAGCTTATTGTCCAAAACCAAAACAATTTGTACCATTTACATGCATGTGCAACATATGCCTTACACCAGAAAAACGTCTAAAATCAAATAGAAATTTGTAAATCATGTACAGATTTTGTTTTACATTTTTATAATCAAGTAGCAAGTAAAATTACAAACTTTCAGCAACCTGAGAGTAGAAATTAAGATGTTGAGATATCTCGAAACATATAACATACTGTATGGATCTTCTTTTCTTGACTTTCTCAATTTCTCTCACTACAACCTCATTCATTATTCAACGAATTCAAATTTTAGATATAGCTAGACAGATGACGCCTTATTGACTCTAATCCTTACTAACCAACTAAGCTTAAATGCTACTATTTTGCTCAAATTAAATAAATTGTACCCCTCTCCCCCATTTTCCGCGCAATTCACCACATAAACAATGCAACAAAAAACCAAAAGAAAAGATAAAAGATTGTTACCTATGGTTAAATTTATTTACAATGAAAGATGTTTTGGCTTTTTGAAAGAAGTTTTACATGAAAAGTATAAAATGAGTGAATCAAGCTCTTGGAGCTCTTTGAACCACTTTATGACCCTAATTGGTACAATTGAAAATGAAGAGTAATCAAACTTCATGAGCCTAATTGAAACAAATTAAAGACTAGATTGAAA